AGCCTACCATCAAAAGCGGCGAGATGCAGAGCAGTCCTATAAACATAAAACACAACACATAGGGTTTAGGGTTTAGGGTTAGGGTTTAGGGTTTAGGGTTAGGGTTTAGGGTTTAGGGCTAGGGTTTAGGGTTTAGGGCTAGGGTTTAGGGTTTAGGGAGAGGTTTACAGTTTGAATATTAGGTATAGCATTACGCTGGCTAGGGTTTAGGGTTTAGTGTTCGCTAGGGTTTAGGGTTTAGGGTTTAGTGTCTGATAGGGTTTAGGGTTTAGGGCTTAGTGTTCGCTAGGGTTTAGGGTTTAGGGTTTAGTGTCTGCGAGGGTTTAGGGTTTAGTGTTCGCTAGGGTTTAGGGTTTAGTGGCCGCAAGGGTTTAGGACTTAGTATTCGCTAGGGTTTAGGGTTTAGGGTTTAGTGTCTGCGAGGGTTTAGGGTTTAGGGTTTCGTGTTCGCTAGAGCATAGGGTGTATTGTTCCATGTTTCCTTTTTGCTAGGGTTTAGGGTTTAGGGTTTAGGGTTTAGGGTTTAGGGTTTAGGGTTTACCGTCTGTGTGAATCTATAGCATCAACAAGCCAAAAATTTTTAGGGTTTTTAATTGTTGCTGCTGCAGCAGCAGCATCACCGCTGCGTATAAGTTTATGAAAAGCAGCAACAGCAGCATCAGCATCTTCTGCTGCTGCTGCTGCTGCTGCTGCTGCTGCTGCTGCTGCTGCTGCTGGTGGAGAGTGTGGTGCTGCTGTTGCTGCTGCTGCTGCTGGAGAGTCTGCTGCTGCTGCTGCTGCTGCTGCTGCTGGTGCCTTAGGTTCTGTTGTTGCTGCTGTTGTTGCAGGCTCTGCTGCTGCTGCTGCTGTTTCTGTTGCTGCTGTGGGTTCTGCTGCTGCTGCTGCTGCTGCTGCTGCTGCTGCTGCAGGAGCAGCAGCAGCAAGCGTTTGATCCCCCTCCAGGGGGGGGGGTCAGGGTGGCCAGCCATGAGGGTTTAGGGTTTAGGGTTTAGGGTTTATGTTTAAAGTTTAAATTTAAGAATTAGGGTTTAGGGTTTAGGGTTTAGGGTTTAGAGTTGTTAGTGGTTTGGATATGAGGGAGCCCCGAACACCGATGGCGGCTGCGGGCCCCAAACCCTAAACCCTAAACCCTAAACCCTAAACCCTAAAAACCCTAAACCCTAAACCCTAGAAGCTGACTTTTAAACCCTAAACCCTAAACCCTGAAACCTGTATATGGTTTGTTTGTGTATTTGAGGTGCAGGGCAGGTGCTGTGTGTGTATTTTTTCCTAAACCCTAAACCCTAAACCCTAAACCCTAAACCCTAAACCCTTGAGGGTTTACAAAGAAGAAGATGATGGAATCAGGGTTTATATATTCTAGCTGTATAAAGATACCGTGTTGTATATGCAAAGAAGAAGAAGAAATAGATTTATTTAATAGGTTTGAGTGTATACAACATTTTAGTATAGAAAAATATATTTGTGTGTATGAATTGAGGTGTATATACACCCGGATTTCTCTCTTTGCATGCAAAACCCTTTCTCCTATTTGTTATTTAAATATTACTTTTAAAACAGAAACACACAACGATG